GATGTTGGTCATAGTTTTTTCCAGCTGATATTGATGGAACAGTAAGCTTAAGGAGTCAAAGAAATATGGGCTTTAACTGTAGATGGTCCAGACAAAATTATCATCCACATACTTCTCTACCAGACTTTAATTTTGGTCTGATTCCCAAAACCATTGTCAGAACTGCTTTGAGTCACAAGGCATTTTCTGTTTCTTATCCTGGTACTGGCCTTTTGGATCATTTCCTAATTTGTGCTCCCAGAGATACTCTGACCTCATTCCATGTTTTTTCTTCCTGACTTCAATGTATATTGAACACACACACACACACACACACACACACACACACATGTTTAAAGAAGAGAAGTGAAATTGTTGCAGGGAAAATCATGGGGAGGTGGTAGGCAAGAATGTTTTCCCCTCTCCAGCTGTGCCTCATTTCCTTTTCTTTCTTGCCCTTTCCTGACCACGGGCCCTCCATGCCTTTCTGCAGTAGAGACTTGTGGGAGGTGATAGGGAGTGGATAAAGCCTTAGAATGTGATAGAGATAAATCTCATGGGTCAGATATTAGTGATTAAATGCTTTATTCATAATTCTCTCAGCCTCCCCTGGAACTAGGAAAAAACACAATGGTTATAATTAGAGCAGAGTGGAGGTTACAGAGATGGGGCAAAGGTAGCAAAGATACTGAATGTATAGAAGTGTGTTCTTGCTAAATAAGTGTGGACAACTGGTCACAAACGTCCTAGAAGGAGGATGGCCAAACATGAATCTGCTTATGCCAGGGCAGAGCTAAATGTGTATTCTAGTTGCATGTGTGTGCACATGCACACATTTTTGAACCGGCACTCAACAATTTTCCATTTGTAATATGAAAGTAGAGTACATGATAGGGGTATGTCATGACAGTCCCTTCTAGGCATCTGTGACTTAAATCCTTTCCTCTGGTAGTCAGAATTGTAATTAATTATCTTGTAGGCCTTTTTTGGACTCTCAGTTCAAAGTCATTTGACATTAGCTGCTTCTCTGAAATGAGTACCTACCTGTAAATATAGAGTGAGGAACAAGTCTTAAATTCTACACATATTTATTTGCATATGATTTAAAATGTATATAATAGAAGTGCTACTTTTAAATAGCAATGTTTTTCTTAGGAAATATAACTTAGAAGTGATTTTCACCATCTAAATTTTACAAAATCATTTTAAAAATCCATGATATTCTACTTATAAATTTTTTGTACAGTAAGGGTAAACAAACTTTAGATTTCTTTGATTTTTCTCTTAACACCCAAAATTTGTTATAATTTCGTCAACCAGAAAGCCTTTCAAATGGTGGAAAGATCCTTATTGCCTTCTTCAAATTCCATTCAATTGAAAATAAAAGTTGTATCAAATCTACCTCCAGTTCTAGTGTTTTTAAATTATGTTCTAGGAACATAATTTTCTAGGAATTGCCAATTTCCCATAAATTTCCTTCTATATCTTTATACTTTCTTATTCATTCAATAATTTTGTGATTCTAAGTGATTATTTTATCAATAGAAGTCAACTTGAGTTATCCAGTCTTTAGAAATTTAATAATTTACTGCATTATTTTCCATCCTTAGCGATTGTTTTGAGTGATTGTTGATTTCCATCATACCTGCTTACACATTTTTATCTAGAAAGTAATTATGGTTCTATGTTCTATTTGAAATTAGGAGGTTTATAGAGCTAAAGGAGATAATTTAGACCATCAACAAATTGTTCTATAAATGGAAGATTTCTTCTTATATCAACATTATTAAGATAATAAAGGTTAAATTAGATTTTATCTAACATTTCTTATGTCTTTTAGCAAAATTTCTGGGCACATATGGTAATTGATAAGTACATAAGAAAATCAGGAACTGATACAATATCAATGCTACTGATTTATTATATATTCAAGGTAAAGATCATGGTTTAATTTTATAAAGGTGCATACAGGACTCCTCCTTTTTTTCTTTTCTTATACATGTGTGTATCACAGTTCCTGAAACAAAAGTTTTCTCCTGCTTATACAAGTCAAGAGACTTAAAACTAACTGAGCATTTTTTTTTGCCTTTGCACCAGAAAACTCTGGAATTGCATCAGAATTAGAAAAACCTAGATTAGAATTTCCTGTAAGCCTAGAGTAGAAGTGTATGCTTTTGAAAATGTACTGTGATTGTACAGGCACATGTAGGTTTCTGTAGCATCATACAAATTTGGTTGAGCACTGATGACATAACCTTGCTCTGACCTGCAGCTCAGACTTTAAACAACCCTATGATGCCAAGTGTCTTCCACACTAAAACCACATCCTTCATTCTTATAAATAGAAGAGTGTCCTATTTAATTTACAGTGATTTATAAGCTCTCAGTCTATTACAGAGTAGAAGAAGCAAACAAAAATCAGGGAGGTAAGCATATATACAGTTGAAATATGTCATGGCCTAAATAAACAAGATCTGAGAGATAAAACTGTGGATGTCTGTAGTGTCTCAGAGTCATTTAAAGGAAGGGTAAATTAGATAGTATCTGCTGTGAAATAATTTCAATGAATATGCAGGGAATTTCACTTACTTGAAAAGTACATGAACATGAAAAACAACTTCCAAAGAGATACAGTGTTACACTTTATCCAAAGTGTCACATAATACATATAGCTGTCAACTTTTTCTTATCAAGACTTGGGTAGCACATACAGCTGTGAAGGGGGTGGAGGTTAGCTGTAATTTTGAGAATATGGGACAGATTGTTTTTATGTCAGAAGGTATATGGAGTTTTAATAGAGCATGTTCATGTATATTTAAGTTTAAATTATTATCTATGAATTAACTACTTTGCTAAAAACGAAGTGTTTTTTACTCTAGGTCGCAATTCTTCTCATAGCCTGCCTGTTTGTAGGCCACTTCTTTACACAGGTTGTTGAATGACCAGGGAGTGTAAAAGTTAGTTGCTTACTTGAAAGCTTTTAGAATGAAGTATAGGCATAAATACACAATATGTATGTGTGTATATATATATAAAAGGAAGATGAACTTTAATTTTGAGGTACATATGTAATCATTAGAAAAATATACCTCCTTGGGGAAAATTATTTTTAAATAAATAAGAAATTGAGTTTTTAAAGAATTATTTTTGTGACTACCTTCATCGAGTGCTGAAAAAGCTGAGCTTAGAATAGTTAGTAAACGACCGTTTGTACATTAATTATAATCGTCAGAGCACCACCTTGTGTTTATATAGCACCTGTTTCTTAGTAGGTGAGAGAGCAATGATACAGGGTTTTGTTTTTGTTTATATTAGCTTCAATTTTGGCTTTTTACTGTGTTATATGAATCAATACTTGTTATACAACTGTGTGGTTGGAAAGGTGCTAATCTCATCTGTACTTTAATGACTTGAGGATAGGTTTAGAAATATAAGTGACTTCTTTTGCTTAGAAATACCTAGCTTTATGTAACATTGGTTGGTAGAGGTGCTGCTTTTATTTTTGCTCTTTCGGCATTTTTCATGGATTTTTTTCTTATCAGTGATCTTTGTCTTTTTTTAAAATGAAGTATTCACAAGGTAGAGAAAAATATTTTCAATGTTTTCATTGGATCTTTTCTCCATAGAAGTAAAATTTCTGAGTATCATTAATTACAAGGTAGTCTCTGTAATTGACTGATTTGGCTGTTGAGACTCTGTAGCAATTGCTGCCTTAAGGATTGCCCACCAATGTCAAATTCTTGATCTTGTTTTGCTGTGGAGAACATCTTGCTAAACACGTTTCTGGGTGTTTTCACACTCATTTACTCCACATAAAAAGCCAGTGTATTTTTTGGAATTTTGAAAGCAAGGGTTTTTTCTTCAAACTACCACTTCTTTGGACAGACCTGTTACAAATTCTATTTTGTTTATTGAATTAGCTTTGCAAAGAGCCTGTTAAAATATATTGGATGTTTCCAAGCCCTGTTTGACAAACAGCAAGCCACCTACCCTGACACCAAATAAATTTTTGTGTATGCAACTTTTTAACATATCCTTTATTTTATCAACATCATTATATAAACTTAAATATTTGTTTATACATGATCCTTATAAGTAACAGTATAGAGAATAAGATAAAAATGACTGGAAAAGAAATATAGGTTTACTTTCATGGTTTGCTAATTTTCAATAGTTATATTTAATTTTCTTTCAGAGTTTAGCATGCAGGCAATTTATTCAATTAAGTTTACAGTGATTTATACTGATATTTATGCTATTGAATTATGAAAGTTTTAGTAAACCAAAAGTCTATCCAATATAGATTATTAAATTGCATTTTGATTTAAAAAATTTCAGTTTAGCCTAATTTTGCACTCTATTCTAAAATTAATAAAATAGAGAAGTGAACAACATTAATGCAATTTATTAGGAGTTTGAAAGTTAACAGCATCTGCCTTTTATTTTTACTGTGAACTAATATGTATATAACATAATTTAATATGATAATATCTTTACTCTTTTATTCTATTTTATGTATATTTGTTATGTTTCAAGAGTCCTGGAAATAATTTATTAAATTTTGTTTTGTTATAATGAAATAAATCTCTTTCTAAACTATGACCAAACTTTTTCAGCTTTAACAAACTCCGTAAGAATCACCTGCTTATTTGCTTTGTGAGAAAAATTCTGGGCTTCAATGAGTTATCATGCAGTGATTTATGTCAAGCAGTAGCACGTACATTCAATTGCACAGTTTGTGCTAACAGCCATTGTTGGACCAGGCATTTCTCCAAAGCTCATGAATTAGGAAATGGTAATTATAGTAAGTCGTATATTATAAATAATGCATGGATGTTTCACATGAGCTCTGTGGGATTTCGGCCCATTTGCCAGAATATAGCTGCAGAATGATTTGTCTGGAGTTTGTTTCAGATGATTGATAGTGCAGAATGTTGGCAATGATGTAAATTACTGTTGGAGTGCCTTGAAAATTTCAGTACAAGTGGTGATTTCTTCTCTTTCTCTGTGTGCTTGTCTAGTCTCGGCAGACACCTGAGGGTGAGTTCCTTCCCCTTGATCAACTTGAACTGGATGTAGGTTTTAGTACAGGGGCAGATCAACTTTTTCTTGTTTCCCCCCTCACGATTTGCCACGTGATCGATGCCAAAAGCCCCTTTTACGACCTATCCCAGCGAAGCATGCAAACTGAACAGTTCGAGATTGTCGTCATCCTAGAAGGCATTGTGGAAACAACTGGTGAGTAAAAACATAGATATGCCATCAAGTTTCTTTATTTCATAATGACATGATATTATATGCATAAGACTTGTCATGAATTGGGTTGAATTTCTTGTTCACAGTAGTGAAAGCAATGACTTGCTTCATTTCTTGTAATATTAAATCGATACTACTTTTAATATGAAGATTGACTGTGGTGATGATGACAGGTGTAATATTAACTCAGGAATACTCACTGTAAAAAAAGGCACCTGAGACGTCTTCTTAAAAATTATTATGATGTTTTGTTTTTATTACAATCTTGTATTTTCCATAATCACCATTTTTCTTTATAGATTTAAGGTTAAAGTAAATTCAGCGTAATTAGTGAGCAGCCTGAACTCGGCATGCACGTTCTTGCCTAGGGGATGGTGATTCAGGCTGTCACTGACAGAGCTTTGATATGCTGCTATGTGCAACCTCAGTGGAAAATTTCCTGTGTGTGTGCATGTGTGCGTGTGGGCATATGTGCTAAAGCAGCATTTTAATTTCAAAGTGGGTCAGTAGATTTCCCCAGCTGAACCTTGACCAAGACATTTTTAAAAGCTGCTTTTCTTCTTTTTCTGCTTGGGGATAAGCAGCATGCTGTATGTTAATTCACTAATTTGCAAAGTAACATTGGTATATCCCAAATATAATTTGTTACTCTTGACAAAAGGAAAGAAACAATAAATCAAAGTATATTGTTTGGTGTCTAAGCATTGCCTAGTTGGTTTGGAATCTGATAGGTGTCTGAGACAAATAATATAATGTCAACATAATTATAAACATATATGTATTATATATGCATACCTCAATTGAGTTTTACCCTTCTTACAAGTAATGAGAAAGCAAAACATATTTTAGCTCTCCACTTTTAACCAATATTATTTTAACAATCTTAAAATGCTAATTATTATGTATAAACTATAGTATTACTGAGAGTAACATTGGCAGTAACATGGAAACATTCAAGCCTCACACCAAGATGAGAAATTTTACACAATCAAATATTCTTCGCCTTGGTAGAAAGCTTTGTCCAAGGAGCAAGGAGAAGACATTGTAATTTTTCCACGCCTGTCACATAACACCTATTTGAAATTTGGGCCAGATAATTAATCTCTGTAAGCTTCTTTTCTTTCTCTTTAAAGTAAGAATTATATAGTAACCACCTTGAAACTGGTGGTCATATTCTAGCATTTTATTATAGTAATTAAAGATTTTTGCCCTGACCAGTTTGGCTCAATTGGTTGAGTGTTATCCCATGAAGTGAAAGGTTGTTGGTTCAATTCTTAGTCAGGGCACATGCCTGGGTTGCAGGTTTGGTTCCAGGTTGGGGCGGTGTATGTGAAAAGCAATCAGTCAGTGTTTCTCTCACACATCGGTGTTTCTCTCTACTTCTTTCTCCCTCCTTTACCCTCTCTCTAAAAATAAATAAAATCTTTAAAAAATAAAAACTAAGATTTTTAAGAATAGTAAGTACATATTTTTTAAAAAGCAAACTATTTTTATTCAGTTTTATTATTGTTGTTTTTTAAAGATTTTACTTATTTATTTTCAGAGAGAGGGGAAGTGAGGGAGAAAGAGAGGGAAACATCAATGTGTGGTTGCCACTCTTACACCCCCAGCTGGGGACCTGGCCCACAACTCAGTCATGTGCCTTGATTGAGAATTGAACCAGCGACTCTTGTTCACAGGCCAGCACTGAATCCACTGAGCCACACCAGCCAGGGCTAGTGAGTGAAGATTTAACTCATCAATCTATAGCTGAAATTTGATTTCTGTAGATTATTTTGTGGTTTAAGCCCTTTATTTTGTCTTTAAACTTAAAATTTAAATGAAGCCATAGTGAATTTCTAAAATGCCATATAGTGATAAAAATGCAATCAATTTACAAAGGCTTTTAATTAAAAAATCTTATATTTCAATTACAATTTTTGGTAATTTATTGACATAATAATATATCATTGTAACTTAAACAACAGATGCTGCCATTTTAATTGGTTTATTTCTTATAATATATGCTTCTGTCTTCGCACACCTGCATATAACCTACTAATTGCTTTTTATTATTCTAGTCACTGACATTAGTAGTTTCTGTTTCACTTGACAGCCTTAAAAGTCTTTCATTCATTCCATCCACCAGTCTATCTATTCATTCATTTTTCCTATTTATCTCCAGTTTGTGTTTGTTTGTTAAGAATGAGAACATTTCCCTAAAAAATCACAATGCAGTTTAAAAAAATCAGGAAATTTAACAGTGATACAATTACTACCACTTAGCTCTCAGTCCATGTTCAAATGTTGCTAGTTGTCCCAGTAATTTGAATAATAGCTCTTTCCTCCCCTGGTTTCACATCAGTTTAAGGAGTATACCCAGCATTTGTTTGCTTGTCTTCTTAGTCTCAAGATGTAATAGTTTTGCAATCTTACTCTATGTTCTTTACCTTGACATACTTGGAGAGTACAGGACAGGTATTTTGTAGAATGTCTCTCATATTGGATTTGTCTGAGGTTACCTTATTAATTCTTTTGAGTTTTGACTTCTACATGGGCATCTTAAGAGAATATTGAAGCAGGTTGTTTTTTACATTTACCAATGTATTCCTGATGTAACCTGCATGTCTTCATGTTTCAAAGGATCATGGTTAGTATATAATATGTCACATAAAGTATTAGAAGTTTTGTAATATTAAATTATCTGTTAGGACTATAGGTTTTGCTATAATACTTCCTTCCACCTCCCTTTTAAAACAGAAGAAGAACACCAATGTAATGATCTGGCAGAGAATACTTTTCATAGTCAAGATGAAAACTTGAATGGAGATTGAATTTCTTATTTAGAGATTGCCTTTTTGTGAAGAAGAGATTAAAATCTGCTTCTTCATAACCTCAGAATTAAGCTTATTTTCTAGATCTATATACCAAGACAAAAAAGCAAAAACTTCATATACACAATTTATAGAAATTATTTCGTGAAAAATTTATCTGATATTTTGTTTTTATATTTACTCTAACTAATTAAATCTCACACTGTTCAAATACTATAAAATATGCCTGTATTTTCAGACCTCCTTGGGCCTGGTGAAAGTAACATAAACATTTTTATGTCCATTTGATTATTTATCACCTTAGTTACATTTATGTAAATTCAATTTTAAGGATGTTTTCTCCTCTTTTTTTTTCATTCTCAATAAATTTTACTTTCTCATAATATTTACTGCTTAGAAGAAGACACATAAGATCTTTTGGGATATTTTTAGACAGCAATAATATCATTTTTACCCCTTTTGCTTTTTGTAACAGTTTTGTGAATAAATATTTACTTGATGTAACTTTCTATCATATTTATCATTAAATTACTATTTTTTTATGATTTATTGATCCATTAAGTACTTGGATGTATACTGTGTGAACAGAAGTATTTGAAATGCTGGTGATACAGTGGCAACCAAGATGGGCAGAATCCCTTTCCTCTTGGAGGTTATATTCTAACTGGAGGAGGTAGATATTATTAGATAAAATGTGTTAAGAGTAAAAAAAACAAAACAAAGTGATGGGGAATAAAGAATATATCCTAAGCTACTTCAGATTGACAGTTGGGGACAGCATCTCTGAGGAGTTAATGCCTAAGCAGAGACCTGAGTGTCAAGAAGGAACTCCTGGACCTACCTGGAGGGAGAACATGGCAGACCTGGTGAAAGCTGGTGCTGGAGCCCTTAGCTGAGAACTTGCTTGGCTGATTCCAAGAACTAAAAGAAGGGAGAGGTGGTAGGAGCAGATGAAAAATTTGCGGAGTTGGTGAGGAGAAGTCAGAGAGGTGGAAGGGCCACCTCTGCACTATGGTGATTGCATTGCACCAACAAGAAGTGCTAAAGTTTGCTTAGAAAGCAAAGCCTGCATTTATATGAAAGTAATAATTTAGTAACAAAAAAAACCAGAATTACTTTTTCTGCAAGCTGTTTATTTAAAAATAAGTGATCCCAATGTGTTGGAAATGAATAAAACTTTAGACAGTGCCACTTACAGTGCCACTTTTTATTGCATTGATGGTAATACCTCCATCATCACCACTTATCCCCAACACATACATGTGCACACACATGCACACACACGCGCACACATACGCAATCGTTCACTTTGGCAGTGTGCTGACAAGAATCTTCTGATTTCATTTAGTTTTTGCTTCTTTTCATTCCTATAGTCTCAGCAGAAGTGGTTGGGGTGGGGGAAGGGGAGCTGAGGGATTAGAAGCTTTCTAATTTCCTTGAAAGTTTTAGTTTTCAGCTCAGGAGTCACAATAATTACTTTCCCGCCTCCCTTGGAAATACTCCTCAGTGATCAGACTCATCCATTGTTGTCGTCCTTGCTTCAAATGAGTTGGGTTTTCACTGCCAACAAGGAACACAAGATTTGCCTCTTTATTAATAACCTTTACTTATTTGCTAATCCAGCCAATTACTAAATACAGGTTGCCTCTAACTTTTGCTCTCTTTGCTTCTTATCCCAGGAGAGAGAGTGCTGCTAGAGGCAAACAGCATTGCAGATTTGGCTCATTAGAACTAGATGCTTTCAAACTTCAATCTGCTCTCTGCTGCCATTTGGCAGTCTTTTTAATTGTCTTTTCTGTACTCCCAGGCTCTTTCGCCAGGGGAGCTATTTTGGACCTTTTTCTCTTTCCATGCCCCCAGTCCCAGCTGTTCTGTCCCTTACTTGGCATATCGTCTTTTCACCTACTCTATCAAAAGAATGTAACACTTCAAATTTTTATACATTTTTTACTCTCATTAATCCTTTTCTCATACTTTTCTTTTTCTTTATTGGTGAAAGTGGGAGACAGCATCTTTATTCTTCTCCAAAACCATCTCTTTTATAGCTGGTTATGTTGTGAGTCAAGCTCCAATACTTACCATACCTAATACTTAAAATCCTATAAATTCTATTTGCTTTTAAACGTTTGCAGGCCTTTCTGCAAGAAAAAATATGCAATTTCATTATTG